GACAAATGTATCTTAGTATTTGTATTTTGGGCCTTAAAATACATGTATCTTAGTAATTCCACATTACTATTTGGAGTATCCCTGACCATCCCTGCTCTAAGGCGTAGCTAATTTAGTGGCACTAGCTGCTCCCATTGAATCGGGCGGTTCCGAACCATGCTCGTACCTAGCCAAAAGAAAAGTGTCGGAGGCAAGCGGAACCTCGTGGCGTTTGGCTACAATACGATGGCAGACCAGCCGCGAGCCACCTGACAGGAACCTTAGTACAATAGGCGTTGCTCAGTCCTAACGTTGCTCGGTGCTCCCGCTCCTCTCCGTGCTTCTGCTACGCTTTTGCCCTGTTCGGTTCGGCGTCGTGCTCGCGCTTGAGTTTTATTGCCCGCATCAAAGGTCCTCCAGCCAGTCCTCCCAAAGTCGTATCAACGAGGTCGCCTCAAAGCTCCAATGAAAGCTCGGCGACCCCCTCCTACTCGTGGACGCTCGTCCGTCGTTCGACATATCGCATGACGCGAGATTGAGATACAGAAATATATACGAACAAAAGATAATAAATATATGCAGTACAGCTAGTAATGCACTATTAAAAGATGATAAAATATAAAGTAGGGAAATAAAAGCTAGATGACTATGGTTGTAAGGAAAATCGAAGTGCCAAAGCGGACGATGCGAGGAGGCGAGCAGCGGACTACGAGTAAATAGCTGGAGTTGTGAGTACAGAAAACTATTAGTGGTGCGAGGTTTGTACAGAATAATAATAAAAATACAGAAAACATTGATTTTAGATATCAGTACGACCTTTCATTTCAATTCGCTTCTCTAGTGTAGACCGCTGCTGACGAGAGTACGCTTTTGCCAGCCGTAAAAGAGTTGCGGGAACTCAGGTTCCCGAAAAGGACCTTTACGCTAAGTGCCATTTGAGTTGCCGTGTGGCATTGCCTAAGTGACATTTACACTAAATGTCCTTTAACGTAAAGTTCCTTTTAGGTGACCGTCTGACAGGGGTATAAGGCTACGTCAGTGCTCCGTGCCTAAGGTCTGCTTCGTCTGACGGAAGGCATCGAGCGCATGGTGGATATATGCTCGCTTTCCAAAGCCCCGTTATGATGACCCGCTCTATAGGTGACATTCACTTGACGTCACTCGCTAGGTTCGCTGGCATCGCCCACCACGGTCGCCATCTTCGAGGTCTCTTGCTATCGCGAATGCCATCTGGCCGGACCTTTTGAGCGTGGTTTAGCAGTATTTTACAACTTTAGAAGGTCTTTTTGATCGAAACTAGGGGCTATTCTTATACTTTGGTGCTTTTGAAGCGCCGTGGGAGTATTTTTTGTGTTTTAGTTCGTTTTTGTCGCTATCGGACTCGTTTACCGCGGCCGCGTTGCTCCCTCGGCTCCATGAAGCGCTCCGTGTTGCCCGCCGTGCCGACGGCGGTAGCTCTTGCAAGAACTAATTTTTCTACTTTGGTGCTTTTGTAGCACGGTGTGATTACTCTTTGTTTTGTTTTGCTAGTTTCTTTATTGTTTTTCTCTAGCGGATTTTCTGTACTACGGCCGTGTAACCGTGTTGCTCCATCGCCGCTGTGTCGTACATACGTCGTGCCTTCGGTGTTCGTTCCTGTGCAGAAACATACCGTGCGGCTCACAGAGTGCGCAGCTTATAAAAAATGCGGCGCATTTTTCATTAGCCCGAGCGATTTAAAAACCGCATGTTAGCGATTTGGCGAGCGGGAAGACAAGCGACGGCGACCCGCTTCGCTGCCGCTGGGTCACTCGCGCGACGAGGCAAACCGCATGAAAGCGACGCGGGAGCACACGACCAAGGCGATGAGCGCTAAGTTTTCTAAAAATCCCAAAACCGAGCTACGCGACGAGTGACAGAAGGGTGAACCGCATGTAAGCGATTTAGCGAGCGATGGCGACAGCGACGGGAGTCGGCGACGAGCGACGGAGATTTCTCGCGGTCGGTCGTCGCGTCGCTCGGTTTTTGGATTTCTAGAAAGGGTCGCTTATCGCCTTGGTCGCTTGCTCCCGTCACTTTCATGCGGTTTGCCACGTCGCGCGAGTGACCGAGCGACAGCGAAGCGGGTCGTCGTCGCTTGTCTCGTCGCTGTCGCTCGTCTCGTCCCGTCGCTCGCCAAATTGCTTACATGCGGTTCAGCCTTTACACACGGTACTCGGCGGCAACAAAGAAAACGGCCCGCCCCCGAGACCAACTTTTCCTCTCTTTTCTGCTCTACGAAGCTTCAACGATATGAAATTAGCACACACTAGCAGCGGACGACCGCGTAGCGTACCCAAGCCAGCCAAACCGAGACCTCGAAGATGGCGGATCGACGGTGGCGCTCCCTGGCAAAATCGAACCTGCAGGCTCAGTGAATACCACCTATAGACAACGCTGTCGAAGGGTCGTTCCGGAGCGTCCGTCACACGCGAACTTTCTGCTGGCCAAGGAAGTGCTGTGCTCCGAATCTTACCTGTTCGACGCCGACTCGAATGATAGTGAACGTCGTCATTAAAATTAGAGCAAATAGCCGCGTTGCCGCGGCAATGCTATAGCAGCGCGATTTTTTTGCCCCAAATTCAGTGGCGCCGTCTAAGACCGAGTCCTTCTATCGGTCCCAATATTCATGGCGCATTTAGTGACCACGCCTACTTTCGTTACATTTCGCTTTAATAATGAGAGATACGAACGCCACAACTTGAACACTATAACCTTTTTGAACGATCAAAATAAAAGTTGGACTCCAATCCACGCTGTGACAGCGCTAGTGGTGAGACAGCGAAGCTGTGGTATTACCTGCATCGATTGCCCACTGCACTATATACCCTTGTCATGGCAAACGCCACCAGCTGGGGTTCAAGTCTTTGACGTCCCAGAGAACTTCCGGTTTATAAAAAGAACTAACAAAGGCCAGCGTCGCTTGAAATGGGGACGAAACGTTTACTTTTCAATTCTCCAGGTGAACGTCAAAAGAATGAAGGAGTGCGATATCTGGTAAAATGTTTCGAGTATCCAGGCAAACCAACTTGCCTGCTCAAGGATGTATTATTGTACAGCCGAAGGTCCTCGTTTAATCTCCAAATTTTGTCCGTGTAGCATTTGAGCTTTCTAGCACTGGCGACATCAGCAAGTTCAACAGGCTTGCAAAGACGCTGCGACCGGCAGTCGCTTGGGACGCAAGCGGCAGTTTATGTTTGTAAACAGCAAAAGTGTCTATGCCAAATGATTGACGAAGGAAAGGTAAATGCACGGTACCAAAACTTTTTTTATAAGTGAAAGACGTCGTACGCTGCGGTTGCCACGGCAGCTTATGCAACCGCAATCTTTACTGAGAAACGCATGTGGGGAGCGCTACGTGCTTCGCATCGTTAGCGGGGCTAGTGACGTCACTCCCCCCTTCGTACTCTGCCGTTGCCGCGGCCGCCTATGTAACCGTAATCTTTACCGTGAAACGCATGGGGGAGCGCTACGTGCTTCGCATTGTCGGCGCGCGCCTTATCATCTATCATGTGGTTTTGACACTTGTTCTGTGGTTTTCTTCACGTAACAAGTGTCAAAACCACATCATAAATGATAAGGCGCGTGCGAACGCTGATAAGGCGCTCACAATGGTTTTCTGTCGACTATTTTGTCGACCGGAACGAAAAATCCTATGTCGGTTGTTAGTTTCTGCGTCAACAATGCTGATGTTGTCGAAGTCAATCCGGTGGTCTTTTACTTCGCAGTGCTCAGCGACTGCGCTGCGGTCGTGGTCGTGCTTGCGAATGTCGTTTTTGTGTTGGCGTATTCTTTTATTAAAGTTCTTTGTCTCGCCGATGTAAGTGACTGGACAACCTGCACAAGGGATCTTATAAACCTCGCCCTGTGTTTTTTTTTTTTTTCGGAGGGCGATCTTTTGGGCGGGGCGTGAGTAACCCGAGCGCGGACATCGGCTTGTGGGCCACGCTGATTCCTTCTTTGGCTAGCACGCATACCAGCACCTCGTTTGTTCCTTTGGTGTAGGGTACGCAGATACGCGAGGTTGAGCGTGGCTGCGTTCGTGCTTGTGGTTGCTGGTGTCGGTGATCTGAAGCTTGACGATGGGCAACGCGTTGGATAAAGGCGCCATGCATCCGTCCTTTTTGAGATCAGCACAGGCGGTTTTTTCCTCCTTTTTTTGTCAGCCTCAGACGAGCATATAGTCTTCGCCCTAGACGCAGTGTCCTGACCACCGATGCTTTGTGTGCAGGCTGGGTGTACCAGCCTGCTACAAAGCATCGGTAGTCAGGACACTGCCAAACGATGTGGGTACAGAGGGGAGAGTACGGCCCTCCTCCTCCTCCTCCGTACCCTCCCCTCCTCTTCCTTGCCTTCCCCCTTCTCCTTCTCCTTTCCTCCTCCTCTACTCCTGCCGCTGAATTTGTTTATCGGTTACGTGACACCAAGTCGTGGCGTCATTTTCCCCGCTACATTTAGCGCGGAAACTGAATTGGTGTTGAGGTCACGTGACGTCAATTTCCCCGTTAAATTTAGCGGGGAAACTTAACCCGCTAAATTTAGCGGAAACATTTCCCCCTAAATTTAGCGGAAAAATTTTCCCGCTAATTTGAGCAGAAATATTTCCACGCTAAACCTAGCGGAAAAATGTTTCCGCTAAATTTAGCGGGAAAATTTTCTCTCCCACCGCGGGGAAACGTCCCGTAATGCAACGCGCGGTTACGCCGACGCCGGCGCCGCTCAACCCCGAAATGGGCGCCTAAGAGTTGCGCCCTAAAACAACAACAATCATAATACAATTATACATTCATAATAAAAAAAAAAACAAAAAAAAAAAAAAACTTTTTTTTTATTTTGGTATGTCATGATCACTTTTCAACCCAGATACGAGCAGGACTACCCTTTTCTGGTTTGAAAGATTTGGTTTATTTTAAAATAACCTATCCACGTCCCACATTAGACCTCCAAGGCCTATGGCAAAGCTCACTGATTGCTGCGCTCCAAACGTCAGAGGGAAGTAACTTTCATTGATAAGAAGCCCATACTTTCCTTATGACTGAAATCATCTTTAAAAGGCACTCATCATCGGCGGACTCAGTTGGCCTTCTCGCGTCGACGCTTTCGGGTCTTCGGCGAATGATCGTCTCATTGGCTTTCATGTACACATCTGGAACCTCAGCCACGCATTTTATGGATGCGGATCCGTTGAGAAATTGATCCTCTCTGATGATGAAGCGAAGTCTGCTGGCGGAGGATTCGAGTCCGTTCTCGTGCAGGGTCGCAAGGTTGCTGATCTCGAAGATCGGCGGCTCCGCGGGAGCCTCGTTGAGGAACCAACGGAAGCTGACCACAGGCTGGGACTCGGGGGAGTAGCAGTTGATGTCCACGGCGTCGCCGACCTCATAATACTTCCGAATGCTTCTTATCTTCGGACCTTCTTTGGGTAGAGCTGCGAGAAACCGCGAGGAAGATTACCTGAACAATTAAAGGTACAGTGAACTTACAGAAATCAGTTTCTAAAATGCCCCAAGATGTAATAATGAAATAGAATACATTCCTACCCCACTACCTTCCTTCTCAAATTCGGAGGCACAGTTTGAGAAAGTCGTCCGAGGAAAAATTAAATGCACGAAACTTAAAAATAGTGGCATATTACTTCCAAATTTGAATATTATATGAACCTCTGTATTTAAAACACGATTCCTTAAATTTGTTGAGATGTTAAGGAGTCGTTTCGAGAGTGAAGAACACATTTTTCATTAATTGAGTTCATTGTTTCAAGCCGTGCTAACACGTAATATAACGGCGTCCAGTGACGTCGACGCGACCTGAATTGGTTTCTAATTGCACCAAATCAATTACCGCGCTAAATTTAGCGGAAAAGCGTTTTCTGTGTATTTATTAACCACCTGCCCCCCCCCCCCCCCCCCCCCCCCCTTCTCTGTCTTTGCCCCAGGCGCCAAAGCATTATGCCCGTGTTCCACTAGAGCGACAGACAGAAACAAACGACAGCGACAAGCCTCAAACCAGAGTCTTTCGAGATTTGAGAGGCTTTGTAGAATAAAGGAGGCTATGCTCGAACACGAGCATCATGCACGTGAAGGTATCTTTGACCATACTTTGACAGGCTTGCAATCGCTCGTGCTTACTTCGCGAGCACCGAACGACTATACCCTGTTTCACCTGTTTCACCTTATACCGCGAGCTCCTTGCTGTAGGGCACATTTCGGCGGCACAAGCTCTCGTGCGTTAAGAGTAGCTCCCAACGCTATGAGCTCACGCTTCTAGCCTTGTCTGCGGTTCAACATAAGATGAAACGGAGTATAAACGCCTGCCAAAGGTACCATCGCGAGCATGCTGCATGGGTTTGAGGCTTGTCGCTGTCTTTTGTTTCTGTCTGTCGCTCTAGTGGGACACGGGCATAAGAGCTAGGTGCTCACGCCGAGAAATGCAACTGCGCGTGCCAACGCGTGCATTCTACGAAAACTTAGAAACAAAAATTATGGAGACCAAAAAGGCCGAGATGTCATCATTCTATCACCTCACGTGCATGAAGGCACTCTACCTCAGAAGCCTCAGAACAGATACGAGCGCCACCCACTGCATCACACAGAGCAGATATGCCTGACTCGGCCACCGCGCGTATTATCACTGACGTCCGATGCAATGCCAACTGAGCTGACTGACAGGAGCCTTACCAAACGCGCGCGAGAGAGGGAGAAACTTCCTCCGTCCAACAACAGCGTCACACAACACGTTTGGGGGATTTATTTCGCGCAGCGGATAACTCGGGGCCGGGCCTTGTCACACTTCGATATTGGCGCCATTTAGATGTCGCGCGTTCAATTAGGTAGGGAGGTTCTAGTTAGGGTGGGCGCAACTCAAATCATGGAAAGCGTTTGCCGATGTGCCAATGTTGCCTGCACGAGAGCAGACGCCCGTTCTGTATCCCCATGTGCCTTTCCTCCTTCTCTCGCCTCCCATTGCAAGCAACGAACGCCTTGGCGTAGCCTTTCTCGCTTCCTTCTCGCTCCGGGAATCGCAAACGTCGAGAGTAGAAGGCAGGGTTGCCAGGAAAGCAGCAACGTCCAAGATGGTAGAATTTACAATTTTTCGTGTTAAACAAGTACTTAAGCTATCGGAACGAAACTAGTGAATATAATAAAATAATCATTTTTATCTTCCGTAAATTATTCAACCACATTAGTGGGCTCTTAAAGGGGCGATGCAACGATTTTTGTATTTTGCACTAATACCGCTTAGAACGGGTCCCTGACGCTAATGACCCGTGAAATACCCGTTAGTTTTTCACCACACGCAATCGAAGCCGCAGAACAAAATAAAGAAAAACGAGCAGAGTTCACCCCCTCAACTCACAGCCAGACCAAGCGGCCACGTGATCTGGAGCCTATTATATGCCGCCAACACCGTGGCCGCCAATGTTGATCATAGCCATGCGCCAGGGTTGGCAAGGCACAGGACACCCGCTGAGTTCCAGACATTGTTATGGTTCGGTTGTTGTCGTCATTGCAGCGATTGGACACAGGACACTACCCAAATTCTTCTCGACCTATAGATTATCACGAGCCCAAGTCGAGTGCCCACGCAATGCTCGCGTCCAATCTATGAGCCGCATTCAAATATCGTCACTGGGCGGTACTGCTACCCACCAGCTACATCATCAGGTTTTGCGAAGGAGAGAATGAATGAAAACGCTCGGTTTTGTCCTCGAAATTAAAGCGCCACAAAGGATTTTCTTGGTCAGTGCATGGCGTTGCGTGCGAGTATCCTTGTGTCCCACCAGTGTCAGTAAGCTCGTGTAAAGTGAAAAAACGTTCCGCTTCAAATTGAATATCGTTGCGCCGGCCCTTTAACCTGAGTTAGGAAATAAAACGACCTTCTGTCCCGTAGACTCCCGGCAAAATTTATCAATTAAATGGCGTCCATATCCTGTGATCCCCGACGTAACAATTGCGAACACCCTAACTAGAGCCTCCCTACAACTACGTAACGAGCCTCGCGCCATCTGGTGTCTGAACGGTCGAATAAATAGAGGTACCGCGCACTCTTAAAATACGTTTGCTTGCGTCCTCCTGCAAAATATTGGTATCGGTGAAGTCCTGTACTTTAACCCGATCACGATGACGCAAAAAGATGAGCCCCGTAATTTGGTTTGTGCGTCCCTTTAAAAGCTTGTAAAATCTCTTGCGACGCGACCACGGTCACCACGGTGTAAGATAATACTCTTCAGGTGAGGACAGCGCGCTCCTCGCGCAGTGCGGATACGGTAGCGCAGATAAAGTTCGCTTTTCACTCTCCCTCTTTGTCTCTCTCACTATGGTTTCAAGCGGCGCCGGCAGATGACTCGTCGACCCGTGGGCACGGCAAAGACCGCTCGTGCCGCCTCATGCTCCACACGCTCCGAGCTCCAGCGAAGTTGCCGCTCGTCCAGAAAGACCACGGTGTACCGGGGTGTCATGACAACGAGATAATTTTTTCCGCTCTCACGCAGTTTCGCCGTTTGGCCGCCGGCGACACTGTCAGCCGCGGGCACAGTGGCCGCGGAATAATGCAGCCTTTCGGATGCCCGTCGAACGAACACTATCTGATTCCTCGCGCCGCGCGTTCAGCCCCGTCGTGTCCTCACCTAGGGTGCCTTCATGTGCGCTTTGCTTAGGGTGGAGACATCTGGCCCTTTTGTCTCACACTTTTATTTTTATTTTCTGTTCAGAAGCGCGTGAAAGAACGTTTCTCTGCACGCGCTCGTGGCGCTAACTGTGCTATGGCGACATTTTGTTTTCGTCGATTTCTTTGTATTTTACCCGTGAGCGCGTGCTGTCGGCATCGGGTACTACAAAGGGTGGCATCACCCTAAACAGAAGGACATTGAGGCACCCTATCCTCACCTAAAGAGTGTATCTTACACCGTGGACGAGACTAGCCCCTCGATGTGCTTGCGTTTGTCTCGCAAGTAGCGTCAAATGCGCCAGTGCACGAGGCGCACGTTCCAGCCGGCCTTGGAAGCAAAAGGCGGCTCAGCACTGAAATAAGCGGCCCTTGGAAGCGAATGGCGGCGGATAACTCGCTCGCGGTACGTGTCTTCCGTGTTTCCACAACAATGGTTGGTGGTACTTGTAAGCGTGATTTTTATCGAGGACTTTAGACGAGATTAAAGCCCCTTCATGTTCTAAACGTAGAGCAAGGTGCATCGATGCACCATGCACGTGCAACGTGCAGCCCTTGGGAAGATCATGGCGGCACAGCGCAGCACTGATACAGTGTTCTAGAGGGGGTTGTAGTGGCAAGAGCAGCGGCCGCTTTGTGAAGATTTTGCGCGTAGACGACACCATGGCGCTGCTGTTCTGTGCCCTAGGAGCGCGCCCCCGTCAGCCCCATCATCAGCGCTGTTCGGCGCTTACTACTGTGGTTTGACTGGAGCTTTTCGCGGTGCGAAACAACTGCTAATGTAGTTCTGTATACTCTGTTTCACCTTATGATGTACCGCAGGAAAGGCTACAAGCGCGAGCTCCTTGCTCTGGGGCACATCTCGGCGGCACAAGCTTTCGTGAATTAAGAGCAGCTGCCAACGCTATGAGCTCGCGCTTCTAGCCTTCGCTGCGGTACAACATAAGGTGAAACGTAGTAAATTGTAGTTCTGCCTTTGGACTAATGCCTTAGAGTGTGTGCTTCCTCTACTTGAAATATTCGCGTGTTTTGAGGGAGATTATTGAATTAATATCGACTCGCCCCCCTTCCCAGTACTGACACATCGTTCAGCAACGCTATCACTTGGGCTGCAGGCTTAATAGCTGCGAAAGAAGTTCTACGGTGCTACATTTCGGAGAAGCGTACCGCGTCACCCTCGTCGTCTTCTTCGTTCATCGCACACGTGCCATTAATTCTCCTAGGGCACAGAACTCCTGCGCCACTCGCGGTATCTACATCGACCGTCTTCACGCGCTTCATTGTAAGCGGGCGCCGCTCTTGCCACTACACCCTCTAGAACACTGTAGCACTGAGCTAAATTTCAGACGCCATGCTCTTCCCAGAAGTGGCGCGCGGCACGTGTCTCGAGCATTTCCACAACAATGAATGACGCCACTTTTCCCATGATAAGAGGGGCTTTAGACGAGATCAGAGCCGTTTATACTGAGAAAGTTTGGCCTTCAGTCTGATAACCGGGGGATGACTACTACCGTCCGCCATTGTGTGGTTCTGACGCATAGGAACTCTAGGCGATTTTTCAGGAATAAACAAGACAAAGAAGTAACGCCATTTTGTGTTATCGTAAAATCCGCTGGTTCTAGCAGGGAACAAGCTCAACCCATTTGACAAACTCTCTCAGTATAAACGGCTCTGGACGAGATAACATACTGGAGCACCCCATCGGGTTGCCGTAGAACTCTGGCATTTTCGTATATTTTTTTTTTTTCACGCATCATTATTATTATACTTTTTGGCTTGAGAAAGACAATGTTATAAAGGACCGTTTATCATAGATAGTACGCACGTTTGATCTCGAATATACCGCAAAGTCTACGCTTTAATGAAATTCAGTACAAGGGCACCTCACAAATGGCGCGAGTGTGTTTGCTCCATGGAAAGCCTGGATTGAAGAGAGGGTGCATCTCGGGAACCATATGGAGGGTTTGTAATTTAATGGCAGCAGCAGCCTGCGGAGATTGGCCGAAAATGCACATGCGCTGTGTTTTCGCGTGGCGAGAAGGAAAGCAGGCAGAAAGGGGGAGTCGTATCTGGATTCAGGCCCTCTACTGTTCTCTCGTTGTAAGATAATAGAGAGTTTTAGTAGATCGTTCCCATGACTCCGATAACGATACCCGATACTCCGCCACCGCCTCCCTTTTGCATGCATAGTATCGTTATCGGGGCTATCGGAGGTATCGGAACGATCTACTAAAACTCTCTATTGCTCAACTCGGTCCGAAGCAAACGCAAATGTTTGAAAGGGCTCGCTTCGACTCGCGAGTAAATATAAGGAACCCCTTTTTTTTCTGTGTGTGTGTGTCAGAAAAGGGGGGGGGGGTGCATCTTGTGACCCACATACACAGTTAAAAAAAAAGGTTTCTGGTGAGGTCAGTGTCTCTTTCAAAAGCACGAAACATTTCAGTTGCGAGCTCTGGTTAGAGGGGATATGCGTGCTTATGTTTGTCGTGTGTGCGTATGAAGTTACATTTGTGTTCTTGCTTGTTTAAACGTGCGGGCATGCCGTTCGTCCAAGCCTTGATCGCCCAATTTCTGCTGTCAACACCGGCAGCTTCAGAAATGCAGGATGCGGCGAGTCCATATACTATGGCTTCGCCGACAATGTGATTGCTGCGTAAAAACGCCGCAGAGCGAATTTCGAAGCTGGAAGCGTGATAATAAAGCGCGCCCTGCGTTAGTCAGTTTGCAAGCGAAAATAGATGAAAGCAGTGGGCCTTTACCTATGACTTTGAGGATCCCTTCGCCGGTAACGAGCTCGTAGGAAGGAGCATCGCCGGAGACCTCGCATCGGTATCTTCCTCCGCTGGACAAGGTCAGTTTTTCCAAGAGCACCGCGTATACGTCACTTTCAGCAACCTGCACAATGACGAAATTAGAGTGTCAACGCACAATAAATTCGACAACGCTTCATTCAACGACTCTTGATTGGAAACAGACGTGAGCAAAAACCGCGCCACTGAGCGGCGTAACCGTAGCAACCGTCGCTGACGCTGTATAGCGTGGTGGCGCGGCATTCGGCCATGGCATCGGGTCAGTGGTGGTCGGTGTGGATCCCCCGCTCGGCGATTTTTGATCAGACGTGTTTCACGCTTTCATTTTCCTCGTGGTGAGTGGGTTTGTTTTGCCGTAAAGCAAAAACAAATGCTATACACAAAGAAAAAAAGAAGTATGTTCCTATATCCCTTGTCACATGTGCCACACCCCAAAACTTCAGTTGGACGTAAAGCGCACTGACGTTGAATCGACGGTACCAACTTTCTCGAGCGGCTTGATAGTCGAGATGTGCAACTTATTAATAGCTAATGTACGTAAGACTGACTGCAAAAAAAAAAAAAGTAATCGGGGTTTTCTTGGCCTTACCGCAAAACCTCTGTTTTTTTTTCTATAGTCTTTGATAGGTACTTTAGATGTTTAATGTATTATATCTCACCGGCACCAAGCTTCTCGTACAAGTTGGGGTCGTCAGTTCGACGTGAGCGCACTGTATGTCGAACTGAAATGTTGAAATGAAATGAAATGTGACAAGGCGTGTAATGGCTACACCCCTTTTTTTTCTTCTTAGAGTGTAGAATCACAACCAACGAATCTGCGCTTTGAAATAATACACAGAAAGCCAAAGTTGAGCTGAAACTCTGATGTCGCTAGAAATTAAAGTTAAAGGAGCAAAACTAGGCGACAATTCGAAGAAAAAAAGGTCATGAAAGCCGAAGTTGAACGTAAACGTCGACACTGGTTGGCGGCGGACGAGAAGGCGCGTGCAAGACCGATATTGAACGTGAGCGTCGGCTGCGCTTCTCACAGAATGCAACTTCGCTTGTGACGGTTTGATCGAGAGGTCAAAATACTGCTGCAAATGCTTCTTCTCCCCTCCTTCCTGGTTCGCTCCGCGGATTTGCTAGAATGCAGTGCCCAGTGTGCCCAGCAACAGCGTGCATTTCTGTAATCGACTTACAAATATTTTAACCTTTGGTCGTTGCAGGGGGGAAGTAGAAGGGTACATTGTGTAAGTCGCCTGTTGGATCAATAAAAACAATGTATTCGTGTGCTGAAAGTGTTTGAAAAAAAAAAAGAATGTTTGGAACGACATTACAAGAACGAGGTGTCTACACAAACCCGCTTCTTTACGTTAATTTTTCTGCCACGTTCTATTGCTGTGTCTTAGCGTTGTCAAAGAAGTACGGAAAAATTGGCGCCTGCATACAGAAAGTCAAACTTCCACCGAATACGCATTTAGCTAGTGCACTTCAGTTGGTAGAATTTCAGGGTGTCGCTCTCATGTGGTGAAAAGGAGGAGACCAAGAAACTACACTGGCAAGTTTGTTTGGCTTGTTTTTGCAGGAGGAGAGCCTTGATATTACACGCAGTTTTTTGCACTCTAATTGGGACACGCAAATAAAAAAAAAATTTAGGCGAGAAAAAAATCAGAGCAATAATGACCGCGAGAGATTTATTTGAAATTCTGCGTGCAAGGTCCATGACGTCACGGGTCATTTCGGAATGACCATCTGGGGCATTTGCTCTTTCCGCCTCAACGTGAAGGCGATACCAATCCACCCCTCCTCCACGCGCCCGAAATGCCGAGAGAGAAAACAAGTGGACAGGAGGTGACTACGGTCTAATCGCGTCTCGCGCCGTCAGTATTGCTCTAATTGAAAACGCGTGTTTTCAATTAAACTGTCAAAAATTTTTTTTTTTTTATTTTCAGGAGCTTTTTAACAGTTCCAGAACGCAATTCAATCATACGTGATCCTAACATGCGGCCACTTGATCATCATTTGTGATCGAAGATATTGTGGAGGTACCTACATTCACTGTAACCCCTTTCAGTGGGAAGACGCTCTTGGGTGGGTGATCGCTCGGGACGTAGCGAAAGAACTCTTGATCTTCTTTGTGCCACTTGACCGAGTAGAGGGGCGTGTTCCCGAGTTTGAAGCGGCACCGCAACCTCGCACTGCCGCCCAAAAGGGCGTTTGGCGGGACATCCACTTTGATCAGTCGCAGGTCACCCGTGCCCATCTCAGCTGCTGCACGGGACAAAAGGGAAATTCCATACTGGCGTGAATATCTCGTATAATAAGTTATTTGTGAAACCTCGTTCCTCGATGCACATCGAACTCACGAGGTCAGATGCAGACGAGCATGTTTAAACCTTTTCGTTCTGGAAGAAACTAAGTCGAATTCTGGCACCATGACGATGCCCGCCGTAGGACGGTAACCTTAAAAGTAAGCTCCAACGAAATGTTTCAGATAGCAATTTATTTGTCTCAAAATTGGCTCAACACATCAATATACATCTCTAAATCGCAACCCAAATTGTAAATAACAGTATATGTTTTTTTTTTTTTTTTTTGCGCAGAGTCATTTAAGTTGTATATTGTGTCTGAGAGAATGAAAAACTCTACCGGTAAAAATTAAAAAAAAAAATCCTTACGTCAAATGTAGTGCTATTTAACCTGGGGCAGTACATGTTGCTGCCGACAGGGTACAGGAGGTTTGATAGTGTGAAATAATGCTGAGTAAACTAGTGCGGGAAGATTGGAAAGTTCGTTTTTGGCACAACCCATGCCGTGAACAGTAAAGTCTGAGAATTCCGAAAATCTGTTTAGTTTTAGTAGCTCAAAACACCACCGGGGCTCCTCTTTAAAGACCAGTGCACGCATACATTGCAGCGCTAAATCAACGCAAGGATCAGCGCTTGCGCAGCGCTGACTTGAACGTGATTTAGCACTGATGCAGTGGCGTATCGTAAGCTGTATCTTTAATGTAGCTCGAAATCGGCGTGGTATCGGCAAGGTATAGGCGCTATTTCCTGCGCTGACTAATAGTGCTGAGGAAGTGCTTTGGTGTATGTGGGTTCACACATATAGCACAGCAAAATACGAGCTTGTGCAACGCATGGTAATATCACCAATATCTCAGCGTGGTGCGAGATTTGGCGGCCGAAGCACCCGGGGATGAACTTATGATCAGGTTTGGCAGACTTGGGAAGGGCGAGTTCGCATACAAACCTGATGCCACGGACGGATATCACGGGCAAAGCGTTGCCCAGATTTATTTTGCTGGCCTAATAATTGCAATTTTATCAAAAACTAAAACTTGTTTCCCCAAAGGTTGGCGTGTTTCTATTTAAAAATGTCTCCATTAAGGTCCTCCCCCCCCCCCCCCCCCCCCCAAGCCTAGGGGCTACGTTGTGATGAAAAACAAAAAGAACTTGCAGGCAGTCGATTATCAAGCGTGTCCCCTTAAAAATGAAGGGTTACCATGCAAGTATGGCCCTGCTATTTCCCTTTGTACCCATAGTTTAGGATGAATTAGTTGGCCGTAGTTTAGGCAACACATCTTGTGGTCGATGTTAATTGAAGATTAACATTGTTCATCCCTTGAATTTTAATCAGTGGTTTGGTATTCTCTGACACGTACGCAGTCTCTCGGCATTGAATCGGTGCAAAAAAAGATACGCATTGTATACGACAGACACTTTCAGCGTCCGGTTTATTGTGATTATGACTTTCTTAATAGTGTTTTACTCAGGTCTTCATCAAATGAAAATGCAAAGCTTTTTTTTTTTGACAGGGTGGTTAATTGGTTGGATTGGTGCTAACCTACTTCTGAGTTCTGTCGATTTTCATGTGCCTTGACACGTTACCCAAAGTTTGACTGTCTTTTACGTTCAAGCCATGTCTAAACTCCCACCACTCTGCCGTATTCAAATTTCACTTAATAGAATCCCATCCTCTATCTTGGACATTTTCACGGATTCCTCCCCAGACAGCACACGACGTCGGGCCAACATTGGTATTCAATTGGCAAACAATGGCCCAATATCGGGGCAATGTGGCCATCGTAGAGCCAATATTGGTGGTACACTAGAATATACTGGCCAACGTTGGCCTGACTTGACCAACGGCTCACCTGCGTTGGTAATCGATTGGCTTAGGCCGGCCAACGTTGGCCTATCTCAGCCAATGGCTTATCAACGTTGGCAATCGATTGGTTTAGACTGGCCAACATTGGCCAACCTCAGCCAACGGCTTAGCAACGTTGGTTATTGGTTGGCTTAGCTTGGCCAACATTGGCCTGTCTTAGCCAATTGGTTACGAACATTGGTAATCAATGGGCTTAGGCTGGCCAACATTGGTCTATGTTAGCCAATGAGTTGCCATCATTGGTAATCGATTGGCTAAGACAGGCCAATGTTGGCCAGCTTAAGCCACTCAATTACCGGCATTGGTAATCGATTGACTTAGGCTGGGCAACATTGGCCTGTCTTAGCCAGTGGCTTACCAATGTTATATATAATTGGCTTAGTTCTTTTAATGTGCTGATCGCGCACGCTGAGAACAATCTCTAGCTATGCTCCCGGTGGAACGATTCTTCTGTTTTCACACGCAGAGCAAGTTAGCAACTGAATTAGAACGCTGTATGCATTGCGAGCTGTAGCAAGTTTGAACGTCCACGCAGAAAAAAACCGTGTTCGGTGACAGGTTAAAAATAAACGCTGGTGAGGAGGTCGACTCCTCCTGATCTTTCGATCTACAAATATGGAAAGAGATGGGAGGAGCTTCTACCACCTGTCACCGACTATAACTAACACGCGTCTTCCCAAAACGGATAGTTATGCTTAGTAAATTCCACACAAAATACAAAATGCACGCTTCCTTCGATTTGTGTATATGTTTATACGGCAAAAAGCATAGTGCCTCTTCTCTTATGCCCATTTAGCGACGCAGCCGGGAAATCTTTCCAAAGAGGGGGGGGAGGCGGGGTTCAACCCCGAAATTTCCACCCGCCTCCCCAACCTAGGACACGGGTGTATTGTCAGCTGTATCTGATCTTAAAAATCTCAAGGCAACCCGCTTTGCTGAGCCGCAAAACGCGTCCTATAATTAAGACTGAACCGGACAAAATTAAAAAAATAAATAAAAAGCACTAATAATTTTAGCAAAAAAATAAAACCTTAAACAACTATCCATCTACTGATTAAGCAATTACATGTCTTCACGAATAAAAAATTGCGTTGAATTAACATCTCGAACACCGTATGTTTGAGGTAGGAGGTGACATAAAGCTGATGCGCATTTCAATCTGCAAAGAAAGGTTATCACGCAACATATAGACCTTTCCAGAAAAGGGCTGCTGGCCGGTTTCATTTTCAGTGTTCGTGCATATCGCGCGTGATTTGCTCGCTTTCCGAAGCGACGCACACGCGCGCGCTGAGCTGTGGAGATCGCACGCTGAGCTGTGCATTTGTAAACATTGGAAATGTCTATAACAGAAGAAGCTGAGCATTATGCCTGCTTGCCCAAAAATGACTTCAAAGTGCGTACAAAATACGGCAACTGCAGTACTGACTACGGTAGTGACAACGCCTTCAGAAATATAAGCTGTAATAGAGCCAACGGGTTACCAAAGTTGGCAATCGATTGGTTTAAGCTGGCCACCAATTGCCTGTCTTAGCCAGTGGCCTACCAACGTTGGTAATTAGCGGCGAGATGTTTTGGTGGCGCCCTCCTATGGTTCCCCCTTGTGACGTCATTACCTTGCGAACAACAAGTTCGATGGTGTTTGTAAATAGCATGGTGGAAGCCTGAAATCATTGCGCTCTCGAAGGAACACTGCCCACACCGTCGAAATTAAAGTTCCTTCGTCGATGGTATACCCTTTCCGACGTCATAGTCAGCTTTTGGGCCAATCGTGAAAGGCCGACCACAGCGACGCTTTCGGTCGCGCACGTCGCCAATTGATTGGCTTAAGGCCGGTTCAGACACTTGCGTTTGAGTGCGTTTAGCGGGTTTCACATGCAGCGATTTTGGCCCAAAGCGGCGCGATTTCTGCCGTCGCGGCGCTCGTGCCGCAGAATCGCTGGTGCTGGTCAGAGCGCTGCGACGGCAGAAATCGTGCCGCTCTAGGGCCAAAACCGCTGCATGTGAACTAGGCTTTTGACTGCGTTGCATCGAGTACCGAAAGCGAGTCACCGGCACATCTGTGCTTCGTATGAAGCGTGGAATCCAATTCAAGGAATCATCTTGGCACGCGATATAAGCAGCAGGGATATCCTGGTTTCTCGCTGCCGCAACGCAGTAAAACGCAGTCAAACGCAACTGTCTGAACCAGGCTTTAGTCTGGTGGGATGAGCGATCCCGCGACCAGCCGAAGAGGACGAGAAAGAAGAAGACGAGGTGGGGGCATGCATGAGCGCGAGAAGGGATTCGGGCGGTTGACAAAGGACGGTGCAGACGCGACCAGGCCGGACCTCCGTCGGCGTGACCAGACGTCAAGAGGCCCGACCCACAACCCACTTCTCACGCAGTCCGGGCGCCAACCTTCCGGAGGTAGACAAGACTGCATGCGTGGCGCAGTTGAACACCCGCTGCCACTCCGTGCCACAGACGTTCTCAGCCTGACTCAAGCCTTCGGCCATGGCCCAACTGCCTCGTCGCTACGTCCTTCGGCCCAGACCTTGGCGGACACATGGTCATAGGCTGCCACCGGCGTACGGGGCCTGATTCAAGCCTTCGGCCATCGGTCAACTGCCTCGTCACTACGTCCAGACCTCTGCCCTGACGTCGTAGACCCCTGATAATCGGCTACCACGCGCGCTACGCCGCAAGGACTGAAAAGTCGTGAGCGAGGGACTTTTTAGGGGACACTCAAACCTTAACATTTGTTGAAGTGCTGCTTGGGAGTGTGCTTTACTAAGACGAATGTGGGTTTGAAAGCGTTGATCTTTGCCCTTTGGATCTTTTCGTAGATGCCATCAGTGCGAAGCTAACAATTGAAGAATCGGCAGCTTAAAAATGGTGCTGAAGTGGCTGCCAGGGTCTTGCGACAGGGGAGGCTGCAGGAAGAGGTGTTCGGAAGCCGTAATGGCTCCCCAGCCCCAATACTCACCCCAGGACCTTCCCCAAGACCAGGCATAGGCTCCCCGCTGAGCCTCCTCCCTAGCCCCTTTCAATAAAAGTTCCGAAAAAAGTATTAATTGATCTTGAAATAGTCATGTGCTCGCCAGATAAAAT